CCCCAGTGCCATCGCGCCTTCAATTTTGCAGATGCAACACGGACATCCATCATGTACGAATAGTTGTATCTCTGCGCCGTCATCATCGCGCTTCCTTTACTTTGCTCCATTTCCATACTGTCCTCGTTTTAGTTTGTCTTATTTGTATATGTAGCGGTGTTTTAAAGACTGTATTAATCGAGGTTATGTTCTATTGATTTCAACTAAACGATACATCGAACCACTATTGAATACGATACGCATACACCGGAAATAACGCAAGCCATATCTGTCAATACTTAGCGAAGAAAAGCGCGAGTAAATAAAAGGAATCACAAAGAGATTAGGCAACATGGAAGTGTGTGCTGTGCACATCTCCGATGCAGCATCCTTCCCCTTCAATGAAGAACTCATAAAAATGTAGCCGAAAGCTGCGAATTTAAATTGGCACAAACGAGGTCATGAAAATATGAGGTTCCAGGGGCAAACGCACGCTATAAGATAGAGCGTTTCTCGATTTTCCAATTTTGAGGCTAAAACCGAATCCTCAGTAGTTCGAGGTTTGTTCTGATGCTAACGATCAAATAGAATTCATAAATTTGCAAATACACACTGGAAAAAAACACACTGGATCTAGAGTCCAGACTCTTAAAAACACCGAAAAGAAAAAGTACTCCTGATTCAATCATAATCTAGCTTAAATCAAGAACCAAGCATCTTATTAATCTAAGCGGATTCCGTTTTGATTCAAGCAAAAATCCGATTGAATCAAGAGTATATTTTCTTGTCAATAATGTTTTCAAGAGTCTGGACTCTAGATCCAATGTGATTTTTACTTTCTCGCTCCCCTAGGGAATGGAGAAAGTATTGTCATCCTCCAAGAGAAAAAAAAAAGTTGAAATTTCATCATTTCTAGACGTTTTAAGGCCCTTGGAAAGGTAACGGTGCGATCGCTCCACGGTGCGTGGACTCCACGCACTCACCCCCTTCCAAAACTGATGCATCGGATCCACGGGTCGTGGAGCCCACGCACCAAATCAGAGAGAAGTGGTGTGTGGAGCCCACGCCCTGTGGATCGATTGCACCTGTGCATCGGCTCCACGGTGCATTCCCTCCACAGGCCCGTTCCCGAAAAAACTGGACCCGGTAATTCTCAAATTTTTCGCAGCGCGCCCTCGGACGATTTTCCACCTTGATTTGAACTGTCTGGAATACAGTAATGCCCAGTAATCCCAGTATTTTTAGTGGTGACCTCATCATATTGCCGAAGANTCAATCAGAATCTAGCTTAAATCAAGAACCAAGCATCTTATTAATCTAAGCGGATTCCGTTTTGATTCAAGCAAAAATCCGATTGAATCAAGAGTATATTTTCTTGTCAATAATGTTTTCAAGAGTCTGGACTCTAGATCCAATGTGATTTTTACTTTCTCGCTCCCCTAGGGAATGGAGAAAGTATTGTCATCCTCCAAGAGAAAAAAAAAGTTGAAATTTCATCATTTCTAGACGTTTTAAGGCCCTTGGAAACAAAATACCCATACTTGAAAAAATGTGTGTCCGTCCGTCCGACGTCCCCCAGATCTGTCTACGCAGCTGTATCTCAGAATTTATCTGTTCGATTTCATTCAAAATTTTCACAGAACACCATATCTATGGTCTCCTTATGCACGTCAAACGATTTTGGGGTACGTTAAAATTGGGGGGGGGGCTAGGCTAAATTGTCCATTTTTTCCAGTGTAGGAACGAGTAATTGAGCTGTCCTCCTCAAAATAGTCTTTCCATTGCCTAAAAAAATATCAAAACCGTAAAACTCCGCTAACGATGGCTAGCACTATTTACATGAAGAAAATTACCATAATTTTTAGATGAACTTTAACCTTTTTTAACCGTTTTTCTCAAAACCTTCTAAATATCGTCTTGCCAAAGACCCGGGAACAGTTTAATCAAAGGATAAGATTAAAAGGTACTTGAAATCGAGCAACTCGATGGCGGAGTCATAAAATCATCCCCTCTCTCCGAACCAAGAAAGAACCCTTATTTTTAACCTCTCCATGGCTGTGGTCAACTGGAGGCACTTGGCATTTTCAGCGGTTAATTTACAGTCCCTATCTTGGTATCATCTCGGGTAAATTTGGTAGGGCAGCACGGGGACACTAAAGTTGGAGAATTTATATGAGTAGACCCCTTTGTTACGAGACCCTGGACTCACAACAGCTCTAAGAAAGAGTTTGGAGTATTTTTGCCGGATAGGGCTGAAAATTCAAGACTTTCCATCATGTTACCCTTAGATGCCCAACAGTGGCGAGGCGTGAATGATCGACTATCGGTATTTCGCCATTTAAAGCTGCGGTGAAGAATCGATTGTTAAGATGTGCGTTGCGAACACCCTGTTAATCGATTCTTTTACATGCGTTTAGATGTCAGATCAATCGATAAATCAAGCAACCTACGCCACTGTTAGATGCCCAAGTCAGTTTGCTACGAACAAGTGGCTCGTGGCTCGCGAGGTGTATGGGAGCCGGCGCATAAGATCTTCAGACATCAGTCTACAAGTACATTCGAAGGAAAGAATCAGACATAAATGATAACATTGAAAAATCAAGTGGCAGGGAAGTTTTTTTTTCTCCTTTTTTGGACCACTACCCCTAGAAATCCCAAACCGGGTCAAATTGACCTGACTGTCTCTTCTGGAAGAGTTATGGTGCTGGTACACCTTGGCGTTTTTGCAAATTGGCAACACTGTCTATTCTGTATTTAAATCCACTTGAAATATCGATTTGATTACAATTTAAGACAAACAGCCTCACCAAAAATCGATTGTTTTTTATACATTTAAATGGAGGAAAAATAATTTTGCCAACTTACAGGAATCGCCCCTGCCGGTACATACGAGCTACGGCTATTGATCTACAAATAAATCCTAAACTTAGCGATCAAAAATTACATTTAAAGTAGAGAAAAATCGATTGTCAACACACCCAAAGATGGGAGAGATGTAATCGGGCCTCGCTCTTCAACTTTTCTACAAAACACGAGCGACGCCAGATCGGCAGCGTAGAGCGGAGTATTGCGAGTTCACGCCTGGCACCATCGCGCCTTCAATTTTGCAGGCGCAACACGGACATCCATCAAGTACAAATAGTTGTATCTCTGCGCCGTCATCAACGCGCGTCCTTTCCTTTCCCTTGCTCTATTTCAATGCTGTGTTGGTTTCGTTGGTCTTATTTGTATAGTGGTGCTTCAAGGGCTAAGTGAGCAACACAGCCGAGGGTAGAAGAGCCGCAATCGGGCTTAATTTTGTTACTATTCTCCCGAATCCCGAAATGAAGAGAGTACCTGCTGAACAAATGTACTATTATTTCTCTCGATGTCACTCAGAGGGTGGCTGGCGAATACAATGAGTCACTAAATTGTGAACAAATCTTGACTTGTCAATATTTTTTCAAATGGTAAATGACGCGTAGACACGATGCATACATTAAAATCGCGAAAAAGTAGCTCAGATACCGTGGAATTGCAGTTAAAAAAGCGCAATTTTTCGGCAAATTTCGTGACCTATTATCGCCAATGCGACCCAGGTTTGATCATGGCCTACAACCCACGTTTAATGATTTCTAAAGAAGTTTCAGATTTTCAACCCAAAGATCTGGCCAATGCAATCCAATTAAAGACTAAACGAAAAATAACCAGAATTTATAGGTTGCTTTAGGCGAATTTTCGCGACTGGATTTGGTCGAATTTTTCAACTAAAGTGGCAAGGCTGCAAACTAATGGAGAAAAGCTGCAGTCAAGAACTATACTAAGCTGCTTGATGAATTTTGGTCAACATTTGCATCCATCCAGTTTTCAACCCACCTCGGGAGGTGGGTCGAGAATTTTGGATGTATGGTCGTCATTACTGTCAGCATGAAAACCAAATGGACCACATTTTGCAATAAGGAACCACTATTTCTGGCTCATTTTAGAAACAAAATATATGCCATTGCTTTCCCTATGCAGAAAGTTGCTTTTATGGAAGAGCCAGAGATAGTGGTTCCGTATTGCAAAATGTAATCCAAATGTTTTAGGCGCACCGTCACCCGGAGAGAATTTCGTTTTGTCGTAATTTTTTTTTTTTTTTTTTTTTTTTTTTTTTTTTTTTTTTAATGTAATATTTTATTAGTGAATATACAAATTGCAACCAATTTTGACAGAAATTGGCGTGAAGGCCTTTAAATACAGTCTAAATAACGTTTTGTTGTAATGGAGGTTAGCCGTAAGATAAAAACTTCGACCAAATGCACTCGCGAAAATTTTCTTTTTGTGTTCTTCTCCCATATAAACCCAAAATTTCAGATACTTTTTCCAACTGTATGTACCACCCATATCAATTTTTCTTCTTCTCAGGGTGTCCCGCAGGCGTATCAAACATGACAAAGAACTCGGTGTTGGCGAAAAAGCGCGGTTGGCACTCCTGATCCTCGTATGATAGATCCGAGGGAATCGTGGACACGACCGGAGCATGACTCGGAGGGAAAAGAAAAAGGAATAAGAAAATTGTCTCCCCGGCTCCGAGTCGCTACGCTTGAGTAAGGATTGGGTCCCACCACCCACAGCTCCGCCCCCGCACCCCCTCTGCGGTCCTGTTGGTTGACTGATTGAGTAATTTGCATATCCCTCTTGTTTTAGATCACCGCGATATTCCACGGACATGACCCGCGTTGTCGGGATAGACAGTTTACGGCGCCGATGCCAGATTTCGACGGGAATGCATCAATTATAAGATCCAACTCCTTCGACCCCTTCGATCCCATTTAATTCCTATCTCTACTCGGTAAAACACGTGAAGACAGGGATGGTTTTTGCAAGTCGGCAACACTGGATTTTCTCAATTTTTTTTGGTGTGTGTGTGTGTCGCAAAAGGTGGTTTTAACATTTCCAAGGAAACACCCAGATCCGTAGAACATTTTTCCTAACAAGACAACTTTAGAAGAGCTTATTGAAACAAGAAAAATTATTGAATGTGGAATCAAGGAAATATATTTATTCAAGGAAATATATTTATTATTTTTTTTTTATTAAAATTGAAATATATTCAGCGTCATTTCTTGATGACGGCATTGTTAAAAGATGGTGCTGAAAATTTAGAACAGTTCCTATGGGACTCAATGAAAAATATTTACGTTTTGTCAAGCAACGATAAATTTAAAATGTTACAGTATGATATTTATTTTCACATGGTACAAAATTCATACGCAGTATGTGCGTAATTATACGTCTTTTTACACAAAAAGTTTCTTCAAATAAACGGTTTTTAAGAATTGCTGCCGACGATGCCACATATTTCGACTTAAAATTTTTAGAGAACCGGCGCGCGGCGAGATTTTGTAAGTTTTTTTGTATTAATAGTTTTAATGAAGAGGGTTTTAACACAGTTTCTGCATTCAATATTGAGTTGTACTTTTGCTAGTTTTTTTCGTATTCGTAAGTTGCTTTGTGATTTTTCGATGTTTTTTTTTATCGTATTGATATATCATAATTCAGCCGATTTTTGATAAATCAAGGAGATTAGAGCATACTTAAAATAGGATAGAGGTCGCAAACAGCGTTAAGTAACTGGTGAACACAATATGTTACGACATCCACTGGTTTTCTGAGTAGGTTCCAGTCACAGTGGAGACACGTTGGGTAGATCCGGCATATTTTTCCAATTATTTATGAACGGAGAATCGTTGAATTCAACGCGAAGTTGTGCCTCAATCTCATCGTTCTTTTGGAGAGTTTTTCCGAGTAAAGTTTCTAGCAAGTTCATTTGACTATCAGTGCTCATTGATTCTTGGAGTTTTTCTTGTTTCTCTGTGACGGTTTTATAAAGCTGGACCAACTGCTCCCTGGATTTTTTGATAGTCTCTAATGCCTAGAACAGATTTGCGACTTTTGAACTAAGAGTGGCGAAATTGAACGTAAATAGAGAACGCAAAGTTTCCGCACTAAGATTTGACAAAAATTGAAGGAAATCAACTGCTTCAAATTACTAGTTTTCATGTATAAAACGAATTTCAGGAAAAATATGTCATCTCTCTGTTGACAGTGTATATAAGCATAGCTGTTGGGTACAAATTAACATTGATTCTTGATTATAATTCTTATAAGCGTTCAGAAAAGTATTTGATACTTAGGGGTAGTAAATTCCCGAATTTCAAGTCTTTTGTAATGTTCTGGTGCTGGGCCAGTGTACGTAGGTGTACCGTGGTGGTACCGAATATGGGTATGATGAATGAACGAAAAGACAACTACAGGTATCGTGGGTACAAACTATGTATAAGTCGATAGGCGTACAGTGAGGTGACAACAAATCTAACTGCTATGTGACTATGTCAGGAGATCACGATCCCGGCGCGGCGTGGTGGCCCTAGCGATGCCAAAATCAGAGTCTTCTTCTCTCCTGGTTGCTGTTCCAGGGGATGATCATGATGAAGGGAAAGCCGGGAAAAAAAGGTAGGGAATCATCCGTGCCAGGCGGTACCGGGCTAACGGGAGTTCCCGAGGTCGCGGAATCGCGGACAAGGGAGGTGCCTGGCGCGGGGTTGAGAGGATGAAAAGGAGAGACAGGCGCCAGGCTGGTATAGATAGATATAGGCATGTTGGGGCACACAACACTTTATTAGTGTCCTCAAGTACACACTGACGGACTTTTGATACTAAAATATGCATGCTCCAGCATAAACTGAACATAGAAACATATAGAAAACATAAGTGCTCTATATTTCATAAGATGCAAAGCAATAATTTATTATTGCTTTTTGGAAGTAACATGCGATTTTTGCTGAGTAAATTTTCCATGTTTACTTTTTAAAATACTTTAACCTTAAAATCAGCGATTTTTTCCCCTCTCAAACTAAGACTTCAAAATTGCTATAGCCCTATTGAGTTACTTACTGATTTGATTTGTTGGCAAAAATATTTTCAAAACATTATTATCTCCGAAATCGGCACCATGCAAGGTGTCAATATATACCTCATTTTTACTATTTAAGAACTCGGGTTCTCTCTTTACCTCTCTTCCTTCCTTGACTATAATTTTTAGGTCAAGTTAAGTTGGGAACCTAACCCAACGAAAGAATATTATTGTAATCAGATAACAACTGGAGAGTAACTTCGTATTTTATGCCAGTCATTTTTTCTCTTTAATTGATAAATTATTTGCTTTGTTGTAAGGGTTAAAAACAATATTTTCAAAAATCCAGGGACGGATTGAGGGACTCCTGACTTGATCCTCGTCATTCCACAAAATTTGACCATAATGGGTCAGTTGCCCTAATCACAGAGCCGTCTTTGTTACTTGATCTTGTAGATTAACGAAAATAATAAGATCTATCCAAACAGCAATTTTCTTCTTTCAATATTGACCGAGATATCGCCCTTGAAAAGTCAAGTTCTTGGCGTCATCCCTGGTTTTTTCCACCTTGCTTTCCTCGGTCAGTGTGACGCACATTCGCATTGGTTGTTCAGCGTGAAACTCGAATGAGAGCAAGGTGGAAGAAACCAAGGATGTAATTACCGCGGCGGATGACGTCAAAATCTCGACTTTTTAAAGGGCGATATCTCGGTTAATATTCAACGTAGAAAGTTGCTGTTATCAGATCTCATTATGTGGATAGTTGTTTGTCTGCTTATTGCATGTATGTATCATGATTAATAATAAAATGGTAAGCCAAAGATGCATATTTTTCATTTTTTATTTCTAAACAAATACTAATGTATTTTGAGAACCTTGTCCCATTTTCAGAGTATTACAGCACCCTGGTAAACATTGGCGATAAGAGCTGCGTTTCAAAATACCATAGGAATTCTTATAGCCGGCTAAAGAAGGCTACAGAAAATCATATAGCTGGCTGTAGAATGCGGAAAAAATCATACGGCCGGGCTATACGGAGCGATAAAAAATTATGCAGCCGGCCTATAGTTCCTATCGCCCGGCTTTACACTTTATCGCCTGGCTGTTGCTTTCTCGCCATCGATTATAAAAGGCTAAAAGAAATTGTGTAGAAATTCGTGTGCTTTGAAAATCATTAAGTTTGATACGGAACCACCTTAATATTTACAAAACACACATTATATTTTCCTTTAATACATATTTTTTTTCATCAATTAAAATGAGAATAATCCATACAGGATGTGCAAACATTTCAAAACATGAGTTGAATAACGCTGACTCCGCCAGATTAAATATTAGAGCCTGACACAAAGCGGAGCGGCGACGCACAGGCGCCTACAAACCTAACACGGATACTTCACGCATTGCGCAACGCGTGAAGTATCCCTGTTAGGTTTGTAGGCGCCAATGCGTGTTTCGCGCTGGCTGCCCGCCTGCCACGGCGCTTGAAGCAACTATTTCACACCAGAGGTATTGCACAGTATCATACGAAACTGAAGGCGCTCTAATATATATGTATTAGGAATGACAGGCATCCATCAAAAGTACGGAGCTTTCCTCGCACAATAAATCAAGATACCACGGCCCAAAAACAGAGCAGCGGTCCAAAAACTCACGAAGTCCTAGCGTCCGTAATTAGTGACGTTTAACATACACTTTATCGCCTGACTGTGTGTTGCTTAATCTCCATCGGCTATAAAGGGCTATAAGAAATTGTGTAGCCGGCTTTAGGAGCTATCGGAAATCTTACAGCCGGCTGTAGGTCTATGGTATTTTGGAACACAGATTCTACTGCCAATTTTTACCAGGGCACAGTTGGTGGATACAATTATTATTATTAAAAAATGATTACATCTTATTATTTTCAGCTGATCTACAAGAATCAAGCATCAAAACACGAATCTGTGAGCAGCGCAACTGACCATTATGCTCAATTTGTTCCTTCTCTTTATCATCTCGACAATAATTACTCCGGTATTTGTATATCCTAGGATTTTTTTTATTATTGTTAAATCATATGTCACCTGGTGTGAAGCCGCCGACTTTTCATCGGAGTGAATCAACGTATTCATTGCATTGTAGTAATTGCGATATTCAACGAAAAGTGAGTCCACCAACGAAAGGACGGACAGAGGTTCCATCTTGTGAGAATCTGCCTTGAAATCTTCAAGCGCCTTTTTTAGCGCTGCTTTTCGATCATTTTCTAGGACCTGGAGATCGTTCAACAACTGGTGTGCGCTTTTGGTGACTACTTTTTGACGTACAACATCCGGTACTACCTGTAGAGAAAATAATTAATCAATAATGGAATTTTTAAATTTAAGTAAGCCAATATTTTGTATAAGATATTGGCCCGGAATTTTTATCTCATCTACGAATGGACCTAATTTGAATAAGGAATTCTTTTGAAGAAAGTGATCCACTCCCAATGCACTTCGCGCATTCGTCTTGCCTCGCCTCTACCGAGTGATTCTGGGGTTAAATTCTTTGTGCAGTGCTAGTTCCTGAAATTTAGGTCCATTTGATTATGAGGCACTTACAACCAATCAATTTCAGCACAGCTTCCAGCAAGACTTTATTGGTGACTTTGGGAATAAAAAACTTTATGAAGAATTCTGATACATGTTTCGTAATTTGAATTTCACGTAGAACACGATTCTTGCATCGAAAATGACTTAAATCAACTCCTAACTATGACATTAGAGTTTTTATTTTACATTGGTTATGGGAATTTTGAATTGCCCGGTCACAAGAAACGCGATGCCCTTCGTGAGTGAAATCGCGCCTAACAGCAGTTTTGGCAGGCTTCTCAATTGAGCACTGTTCCTTTTCCATCCTTTATCGCTCAAAGTGTAAACAATTTGCTTTAGCTAATCCAAAGCGTCAAGATTGAGGTTGCCAGATTTTCATATCGCAAAGATTGTCGAGATAAAGTTTAGTTCGCGATTTGACTCACGTAGACTATTGTGTTTTCATGCGAGCGGGAGGTTTGAATTTACGCGTCAAGAAACATTAAATATCTTAGTTAGGAATATTTTCAGCAATTTTTGTTGTACAAATCGTGTTCAACGTGAAATTTTGGTTGAGAAACAAGTATCAGAATGCTTGACTGCTTACCTTGTCTGGTGGTCCATTCAGAAGTTCGTCCATGAACTTCCTTCCTCTTGGAAAAACTAGATTTGATTAGAGTACGCACAGAATATTGCTATAGTCTACTTACCTTTGCATCAGCACCAACAAGCAGGGACGCAGCACTTAGTATCACTATTAAAATCATTTTGTAGAAATGTGGATATTACTATGGGTATTCCTTAAGCTTCCGGCCACTCTTTTCGAGTCACTCGTAATACTAACCCGAAGTTATCTAATTCATTTTCTACCAATGTGTGGGCGTGCCTTACTCTCTTATCATCTCGTTACAGTTTGTGGCGAGGCAACATTTGATTACATTCATGAAAACAGGAAAAATAAAGGGAAATGCCGGAACTTAAAAGTTCAAGGATGAAAAAATGGGTGGCCCTTGAAAGAGGATCGAGTGATATCACTTATTACATGTGTATGATTGTTGGTTTTTAGAGGAAATCTGACCTAATTTTTAAGTTTTGCTTTGAAAATTGCAGGATATTTTTTTCTTTCTTTTTAATTCTGCTATGTCACTTTAAGATAAGATTGTACTCATGAAAGACTTCAAAACGTCCTGATTTTCATTTAATTTTTGATTTGCATGTTTTACCCCGAGCGCGAGGTGATGTTGTTTGATATTTTACATTCTCCTGTTTACTACTGCATACTTTTGTTTACCGGCTTACATTTCCAGATTTTTTGAGCAAAATATTTGTTTACTGTTAGATTTGTGTCTCTTGGCCCAGTTTATAATACTAGCTGGAGTATGATACTCACGACCCTGGATAAGGTAAAACCGCGTGTTTTTATGAAATTTCCGGGGAAAAAATCATTAACATCCGTTTCACAGTTCTCTAGACCAACATTCCAGTATATTCCTCCATTTTACAGTAACTCGTGCTCTTCCTGTGAAAATCATGATACAGCTGGCTTCAGATTCGAAAATTTAAAACTACAAGGATACTCTGTAAGTAAAATTTAATTTATCTCCGATATGAATGATAAATTCCAACGGATTGTCCATTCCACAATCCTGTTCGTTGCGATCAGTACAAACATTCAAACCTTCCGAACGGTTGACGCGAATGAAAAAGATTGCGAACAAAAAATCTCGTTTATTATTAGAGTTTGTCACAACACAATTCAACTCTCTGAACAAACATCATTCCTCATCGCCGATTTCAACTCCGACCCATCGGTACCGGCTTTGATTCAAACCTTACACGACTCATCGATCCCTACCGTTTTGACAACTCACCACTGCAACTTACCGGACATGATAGAAAGCACTCAGGGGAGAAATATTATATTTTTCCTTGAAGATATCGACAAAATTCCAAGTCTGATTTTAAGTTCGGCTTCGAGAAAAAAGAGGTATAGAGGGGATTGTGTCTATAGTGAAATAAAACTCGCAGACTTGAATTCTACCAACAATTTTCGTGAAAATTCTGAATTAAATACTCTGAGGAAATTGCCTCGTTACTGTATTATAGTCGACAAATATTCGCAATCGACGGTGGATGACACTACTTGTGACAAGCGAATGTTCATATCCTCACAAGAGTTGAACGGTTCCTTGGAGTTGACGGCTGAGAATTACAACATGACCCGCGGTTTATACACGAACCCAATTTGGAACTCGAACAATTACTTGATTTTCATGCTCCATGGTTTCCACCGGGATATCAGGAATACTTCAAATTCAGGGAGCCAACCCGTCACAAACGATTACGATTCACTGATATTTTGCTTTAAATTTTTCTGGCGGTTTTTCCGCGGTCAAAGAACAATTATCTGCAGCGAGCATGGCTGCAGTCGATACGATCATTTTTCCGAGAACATCATTTGGTACAGCGGAGGAGATAACGAGGCATATTTCGATTTCTCCGTCACCAACATGCACAAGAAACCTTTGAAAATGATCCTGGACGATTTCCACGGTCAACTTGTTTACGACTCGCAATTTAACATAAGGTCGGGGCACGTCCAGGGGAAAATCCTCGATCAACTGGCAAAGTCGATGAACACCACCTACGGACTTTACGACAGCCATGCCACCCAGCGGACCGGACACGAAATCGGTCAAAAATTAGGCGTGGATCTACACCAAGTAGAAGTAGGCGCCTCAACAGACGAGGCTGACTACCCAGAACTCGACTTCTCTATCGGAATCGAGACGCAGGCTGTGTGCATACTTACTCCGCATAGTAAACTTGTGCCTCAATTCTTGGTACCTTTCAAAGTCTTCACGTTCGTAGTTTGGGTCTGCATCGGCGCAACGGTCACCGCCTCCCTGTTGATGCAGTTTGTTTTCCTCAAAGCTCAAGGTAGATCATTTCGAGGCCTGTATTCGGCGAGAGACATTTCCCTCTACGATAGCACATCGGCAGTGTACACGATTTACGCATACTTCATTAGCGGGAGTCCACCGCGCTTGCTCCTGGGAAAGCTCTTCACCGGCAAATTCTTGTTGGGCGCTTCTGGGTACCAGCTCCTCGATTGTTGAATCGTTATCGAATGACCTTGATCGATATGTAACATTGTTAAGATAGGGATTTATCGATCAGAAGCATTCGATAACGATTCAACAATCGACCCGCAGATGCGCCCTTTCCAGCCGTTCGACTCCCCCGATGTAACATGTTCTATACTACATACCGTTTTGCCTTATGGGTAATGACGCCATTCTGGTACACCCGGGAAAATTTGATTTGTTTCTGCATCTGGTATTCGTAAAAGTTTTCGTGAAATGTTTTGCTTTTGAGCGTGACAATCTCGCACGGACGTATTACCTGGTTAAACTATTTTGGGGCTTCGTTATGCTTGAATGCCTCGTATTCGAGGTTGTAGTTTCAGATTGATTCGAAAAGATCACGAACCGTCACGTGATCTCTTCATTTTAGTGACGTATTACTGTGCTATTTTGTGATTGGTTCATTTTCTCGGCGCAGCATCGTCAAGCGTCAGCTGTTTGCGGCTCTGGCAGAGACAAGAGACCCTCCACTGGCCTCCTAGCAGTCCTAGCGACAGTTGGAAGCTTTTACTTTCGGGGTTTCAACAATTCCTTATGGACAATTATGAGCGAGCAACAGTCATCACCCTATTTTCGGCTGTTGACTTACCTACATGGTCGATGATGAGCTTCGGATGACGTCATAAGCCAAACAACTTTCCCAAACGTCGGCCATTTTCGGCTTGTTTGCAAAACGAAACTGCCAACACGTTGTTGAACATCAACCATGTAGGTGCCATCAACAGTAGAATGCTGAAGTCCCGAAAGTAAAAGCTTCCACCATGGCCAAGTTACTAGTGGAGGGTCTCTTGTCTCTGGGCTCTGGGTTGAAGGTTTAAGGTTATGTCAGAGAGAATAGAAAGTTAAAGGCCCGACTCGATGCTAGGTAATTGAAACAGATGCGCTCGCAGCGCGCTCGCTGGCAACGTACGCAACTACTATTTTCTATTGTTTTCCAGAGACTAGCGGCGGGTATGTTGCTGCCGGACCACCTTCACGTAGGCAATTTGTTATACATCGTCCGTCCGCAATACTCTCGCTTGGCCGTATGAAAACGTTCCTCGCATGCGCAGTGTTAAAGAAGCGCCCTCCAACGCTTTGGCGTTGGAACTGCTTGTTTTTTATTTTCGTTTTTTCGGCGCTTATCATCTCGACCGTTTTTCTGGGCGGCATGACCACGCTTCTGACGAGCACGGTACAGTAACCGGAGATCGACACGCTTAAGAACTTGGAGGACTCCGATCTGTTCATCCAGGTACCTGACGTGGAATCAGCAGCCGTGTATTTCGCTCAACTCGATCTGTCCGATAAAATTAGAGCTAAGCTCTCCTCCAATTTGAACCTCTATATGACGTTGTTCGACATGGAGCGAGGTAGACTGATCTTCAAAGTTATGATTTCTCGAAACTCCACTGAAAATCAGGCTGATCTTCCTTCTTTTACGGTTATTGTGCCGGAGGGTTTCGCTAAAAATGTGCGCGCGATTATGGAGACGGATGCGTTTTTAGCTGCCGTACCGCGATCTTTTCGTTCAGGGAGCCGCATTGTGATGAGTAAATGGCCGCTCCAAGACAAATTTGAGTACCATCTAGTCGCGGAGTGTTTGAAGGATCATCCTTCGTTCGATACGTTCCTCAAAAATTCGTTTTTGTTCGACGCGTACAAAGAAATGACTGCTAGATTTCTCGAGTACGGACATTCGAGCAAGGCTTTCGCTTCGATAGAACTTGCGAACGCGCCGAGGGCTGCGCCGCTGCCACTGGATGACGAGGATCCGCGGGCATACAGTTTGAATGATTTGCAGCTACCGTTTTTTATCCTGGGCGTGGGTCTCTTTTTAAGTTTCCTTGTTTTTATTGCAGAAATGGTTTAGGAGGATTTAGAAAATACACTTGTCTCCCGAGAATTAAGGCGTTTTAAAAATTACTTGTCGATGAGAGAAAAAAAAGGGGGAAAAACCGCAGCATACAGTGCGGAAACACAACTGGGCCTCTTAAAACTAATTGTTAGATGCCGCGATTATCTTAGAGAGCGAGTTCCAATAATCGCGCCAAAATCGATGCGGTCGGCGTCAACCTCATATCAGTGCCTGCAAGACTGCAGAAATACTTCACGCATTGCGCCAAACCGTGCGGTCGACTTCTAACGCAAGTTAGCGCCTACAAGACTGCATAAATACTTCTCGTATTGCATCAAACGCAATGCGAGAGTTATTTGCGATAAGTAATCGACTAGGAGTATAGGCATATTGCTGCTAGCTGGATTGAAGGCGCATCACACTGTGAAGATCACTGTCGACACCCGACGGCGCTCCCTTGCCTGGCTTGCGCGACGCTCTAATCGCAGTAAAATTAGGACAGCTCGTCATTTCTTTTGAAGGTCCCTGCCCGGTATTTACCACGATTAAAGGGTAAATAAGTATGTTAATTGTAACGACTCAGAAACTCGTAAAATATGTAATTTTTTTATGTCACATAAAAAGAAAATAGAATCGACGAGAATATCGCGTCGAAATTGTCAATGCTTACACTTGAGATCATCAAGGAAAATTCGTGGGACCTCTTCAAAAAAACTGTACGTAGCGCTTTAATAACAGTGTTGAAAAATTGGACATAAAAAAGTGATGCATAATATTGCAATCAGAGATAAATACGCTTTCTTCTGCGTGCAACCCTCGGTTTTTGAACCTATGCATCTCTGAAAAACTTTAACATGGTTGTTCTACGGTTTTTTGGGGTTTTTTTCGGTGATTGGCGGCCGTGTAGCGGCCACAGGCCTCTACTTCATTCATATATCATTACGAGATTGCTTCTCCCACAGTCTACGAAGCTAATCAAACCAGTAAATGAAAAATGAACTGACAATGATGTATTATTTACATTTATTATATACATGAGTACACGACTATATTAAGTTATTCACAAACAAGAAGAACACCGATTATAAAATTCAATTACGGTTTGCAGTGTATAATACTCGCAAAAGTTCCGAGCCTATGTAGTCTCTTGAGTATGGGGACTGCGAACTCTGAGCCTCCAACTCTAACATCTTGAAAGCTTCAAATATCTTCAGGTAAGTTAGTTCAAAAGCTGCAGTCACCGTTTCCATTTGTGGCGTTTCAAGGAGTTTATCTGGGACCTCTTCCTTCAGATCATCTACTCTGTATTTTATATCGGTGATGCTGATATGATACGCTTCTTGGTTGTGCTTGAAATCCAGGACCATATTCGTTGCCTGCAACCGAAATACGATTTTTTTTTAGTTTTTTTTAGTCCAATATTTCGTGGAGAGGGCCAAAAAATTTCAAAAATTCTGAAATTTATACATAATAGCCTCGTGGTTTTTTACTAGAAAAGGAAGTTGACGCGGTTTACCTTCACCCCAAATATACCACTCGGCCCCTCGTTTTTTTCCCCATTTTTTAATTTTTTTCTTTTTGACTCATATTTTAGATACTCTATTTCCGCTCGAAGACGTCCAATCGATTTTAAAGTCACTGCATGGCGTCTTTGAGGAATAATTGATCGATATTTTTATACTTATTTTGATAAATTTGCATTAATTGAGGTTAGCTTAAAAGTTCTCTTAAGACTTTTTTTCTTTCTCAAGAGAGGCCCCTTGAGGCCTCTCATCATACTTCCCTCTGGTAGGGATACTCTCCTTAAAATATTGCTCAAGCCATTTAAAATACAGTTTCATTTATCGCAACACCGTGATGTGTAATTCTTACTCGGCTGTTCAGTGATCCGTGTCGGTTGCCAATTTATTTCTTTTAAAAAAGAAAACCTGCATGTACACGCACGACGGGCTGATTGTTGAAATTGATAGACAAGGCAATAGACAAAGGAGACAAAAAAGGGATACGAAGGGCACCTATTGGTGGAGACGGGTGGTTGGGATGGACAAATGAGGTGGGTAATAGACTAATTATAACGGCAGCCCACGAGAGACCCTTAGTCCACCATTTCCCCTTAGTCTACAGCAACCACCCGTTTCAACCAATAGGATCGCTCCATACTCCCTATGTATTCTTTGCCTATCTTTTTGTCGATCAATTTCAACGATCAGTCCACAGGTGATTCTTACCTGTTCCATTTCATCGGGGCTTTTGTCATCAGGGTGATCCAGTGTGCAGAGACTGTCGAGTAACCTCACGGCGAAGACAAACATACGCGTATCATACTCCACTAAAGCTGCCAGATACCTCGCCATCTTTGGATTTGCCGTCAAGAGTGGGTCCTCTTGAGCCTTTTTTAGTTCGTTTTGCCGCCATTTCTCTAGGGCCTTCAGCTCGTTTATAATTGCGGCCACGGGTTTGGGCTTTGGAGCTGGCACCACGTCCTCAAATAAGTCACTTGCGCCATTTTGTCCGGGTACTGGAATTACCTCAAAATAATCAGAGAGGAACCATTCATAAAAGTAAGAATCTCATCATTGATATTAAAGACTTTCAAGGCATTTCTTGAAACTTTGGCTTAAAATCTCATAGAGAGCTCTTAGACATCCCTATATATTGAATCGATCACGGATATGAAGCCTGAAATCATCCGTTTATATCCCATAATATATACAAGTTGATGTGACTTTCCGAAGAAAATGTTTCATTTCCATTATTTTTCTCCCTTAATTTCTGGGCCCATTTGTTTACTATGAGGTATTGATCTAATACTCACCCCAGCTGAAGCGCAGACAAAAATCGACGTAAGAATGAAAGCATCAGTGGCAGTTATAATCATATTTAATGCATACAAACACTGCTGCGGCTGACACAAGAAATAAACATTCATTATAGTCACTGAAGGTATAATTCAAAACGGAGACTTTCCCTCGTTATTATCATTCAATCTTGTCGTGTCGATAAACTTATAATCTAATCTATAATCTTCCTAAATTTTGTTTCTCACGGATTGGGGTACCCTTGCAGTATTATCAAGATGCACCTAAACCGCACGAATAATTTTGTTAATATGACGTTTACACTCTTAATTTTACGATATAAACTATTTTCAAAGGGGATGATACGTGTTGATGGTTCATGCGATAAAACCAAACGTATTCAATCTATGAGATGTTGCTTGATTGAACTATACCATTAATGATTTTCACCCAAAACTATTATTTGGTTTTCCTGTGAAAATATAATGGACGATACAGAAATTGAAAAGCATCATAACCTCACAACCATCTTGATTTCTCAATGATGCTGATTTTCACATAGTTTACTGTAACCATTGACATGTTTAATTTTTAAAGCGGCAGTTCAAGACTCTTCTTGCAATATTGTACATAAAAAGAGAGCCTAGTAAAGTATTATTGTACTTATCATAAAATTTTTATTATTTTAATTACTACATTTTTTGTATTATTGTAGTTATTGTGCGTAAAAATTAAAATCGATGGTTTTGAATTTGTCATTCCCTGCAATTATAATAATTTTTAAAGTTGCACTCAACGCAGATGATACCAATTGATTGTCCTTAATGGGATATCGAAAGATTCTAAAACATAGTAAAATGTTGTTTCCACTTTAAAATTACACATAAAGGGTTACAGTATTAATATGTCTCTTGCTGGAAAAGGGCATAACCTTTTTTCAATTCGCATTTAGGGCAGCGCACGGATACACACACAAAAAGGCTCATCTCAAACTGCAGTTGTGTCAATTTTTGAACAGAGTTTAACGCATATTAGCGCAGGCGGACGACACATTCCAAGGATAAAAACGGAAATTGTTCTTCTTTTTATTGTTCTTCTTTTGATACTTTTATTATGTTCCAAAATTAATTATTTTGCAGATACAGACTTTTCACTTATGACGTTAAAATTTGGAAACGTCTGATAAGAGAATCTAGATTACCCTCTCTCTCTCTTTCTCTCTCCCTCTCTCTACTGGTTCTGTGAGACCATTAAATGTCCCCCATTTTCCAATCACAATCTATATTTATCTTAAAGAAAAAACATTAAAAAAGTGGCCCAAATTGTAGGTAACAAGGTGCTGAAATAGTGATGGGCCCATACTTTTGCGGGGAAAACAAAGCAATAAAGTTCAAAAGTTTCAATTAGAGTCAAAAACTTTTGAGCTCCAATGAGTATTAGCATAAGACTGAGGGGAAAGAGTGTTTAGCTCGGGCAATTGCATTGGAACGTTACGTTATTTTGAGGTCACACCGAGAGATCTATAACATTTTGGATCTTTTTAGATCTCATCAGTAGATGACACTCATCAGCGAGCCCAGCTTATAGCATCCCGCAAAACCCAAGACGGCATCTGCTTGAGCTTAGCACTCCCCCCTGTAAGTCTAGTACTGATACTCAATAGAGCTCAAAAATTGTTGACTTCAATTGAATTTGTTCAACTTTTCTGCCTTGTTTCCCCGGCAAAATAGGGTGAGCTCAGCACTTTTTTACCACCTTTATCTCCAAGTATACCACAAACTATAATGTTGATGCACCCTTCTAGAACATCTCTTTTGGTATTTGGGTTCTGTTTTTCAAGCTTAGGATTCGTCGGATATGTCTGGCATTTTCTTCATAAGTTTCTTAAGGGGAGATTTATCAAAAGCAATGTGAAGCTCTGCTTCAATTTCATCGCCTTTCTCCAGAGTCTTTTCATATAGATTTTGTAAGTCCCTCAGTTGACTGTCCATGCTCGTACTGGGTAAATTGAGCTTTCCACTACTTGCGTCTATGGCCTCATTCAGTTTGATGGACCGTTCCCTGGAGCTCTTGATAGTTGCCAAAGCCTGGAATATATTTTGAATTTTAGAAACGTTAAATAGAGAATCGGTGTAACATTAACAGAGAGCTCAATATGTCGTCCCTTCATCAATTTTGTAACTGTAAATTTAGCCAAAATGCGTTACATTCCAGAAAAACTGAAAATCCCAATACAAACGGAAAAAGCTCATCCAAGCACAATTTTCCCTGCACCTCTCCGAGCCTGATAGCAAAAAATTCAGAAGGCTGCGTTGCACTGATGATGGGTCCAATTGGACCTAAAACGCGTTTGCAGTTGCCCTCCTGAATGGTCGTAACTAGTTTTGCACGGAACAGCATATTTCTTCGAGGGTAAATTGTGCTTGGATGAGCGTTTTCCCTCTGTATTTGGATTTTCAGTTTTCTGAAATGTAACGCACGTTGGCTACATTTCCAACTCACTGTCTATACGACTCGTGTGTCTACCGTAATCAGTTTGGGAATTTTTTTAACTAACTCACTGTGCTAGGGTAAATTTTCCATAAGTTCAAACTGCATCGATTCAATGGGTCATGCAACAGTGCCAGCAAACTTCGCCCCAAAGTCCTCATTTTTCAACTTTAAATTTGAGACTGCAATCAATGGGTCAATTTTTGGAATTTCTGTGTTTTCTTTGTACCAAATAATGCCCTCTAAGCTGTGGCATAATTTTATTCCCTTCCCACCTTGCGGGACTATTTACCTGATTCTATTACAATGTGTCAGCTGTGCTGGTCACAGTTTTGATGTTTGGTTTGCACACAGCAGGTAAAAATAATGAGATCTGTCCAGAGGGCAGCTCTCTACGTTTAATATCAACCGAGAGATCGCGCTTTGAAAAATTCGGTTAATGACGTCATCCACCGCGGTAGTGACACATTTGGTTTCTTTTACTTTGCTTTCAGTAGTCAGTGAGACACATTTGAACAGATTACTCAACGTGAAACTCAAATGAGGAAAGGTAGAAAAACCCAAGGGTGTCACTACCTCGGTGAATGACATTATAGATCGAATATGTTTCAAAACGCAATATCTCGATTAATTCAAATTGTTCAGAAACGATCAGGCCGAAGTAGCTTTACTACATTGTTGAGAAAAGAGAGGACCCCCTTCCCCTCCCCTGTTTTCATGAGATCTGATAGATGCTTTGCAGCCCGTGACAAGATATACAATAATAAAACAAATTACACAGCTTAATTCAGCACACGGATAATTTTCAAGTAAATATCACCAAAATGTTGCCCACCAAATGTGTAATGTTATTCCTAACAAAATTGTTCTCGCTCTGAAAAGTACAGCCAAGTGCTACGTTTTTAGATTTTTACATTTTTTTACCGTTTTATCTGACTGAGGACGACTGAGTTTTCAGCCGGAATGTTTTGGTGATATTTACTTGAAAGAAAATTAACCTTGTTATCCGCTGCCTAATTTGTTTTATTACTGTCCCCTGCTTTCTCTAAAACTAAATCTTGAGTTATGCTTGTCTAAATCTTGAGTTACACAGCGATTCTCGAGGAGATTTTTCAAAATTCTTAGTTCTATGACGTTACCCCTCAAAAATCAAAATTTACCTCTTGCGCAGCCGTCGATTTTGCATCGGAGTGTATCAATTTGTTCATTGCATCGTAGTACTTGCGGTGCTCCGTGAAAAGAGAATCCATCATCGAAAGAACAGACAGAAATTCGATCATGTAATCCGCCTTGAGTTTGGGATTTCCGAGGGCTTTCTTTAGTGCTTCTTGCCGACCCATCTCTATGATTTTGAGTTCATTCAACGATCGATCGACACTCTCCAATGAGGCTTTTGGACTGACTGCGGCTGGCACTACCTGTGAATTTTATGATACAGTTTATAATGTAAATGGAGCATCTGCGTTATATCAGTGGCGTTTTCTGCATATACGACATAGAATCATAAAGGCTGGAATGAGAAAATAGGGCCAACATTTAAATCGTAGGGTTTTACATACCGGTGTCCGAGGTAACATGTATAGACAGTGTTGTCTACACAATATTGTCTATGTGCAAGTTAAATTCTAGATTCTAGAGAGATTGCTCAGGGGAGGATATTTGTTGGTCTATCTTGAAAATTGAAGGCAAAATATCAATATTCTTAACCCATCTCCCTCTTTCGTGTTAGCTCCTCTCTTTCTTACCTTTCAGTTAGAAAACCTTACCACTATTGTTCAACTATTTTCACACTATATCTATCAAAATCCATCTTTGAAATTGTAATTCGATCAATTTCTCGGTGAGAACAGCCTGCATTTGCTCTTTTGACGACTAAATTTTTTTAAAATTATTCGAGGAGACCCCCCGTGCTCCTTTAGGGAGCCTAAAAAATCCTCCGACTTCAACTTTGGAACTGAGTGACGGATCTCCCTTCGTCCGGTGTCTCTTAATGCCCCATTGCCCCACAATACCGACTTGATGTGGTGCCCCTCCGCGCCTTCTAGTAAACGTTCATAATAGTTCCGCCAATGTATTTTGTTTTAATTGTCAAAGTTCTCCGAGATTCCAATTTAAAACCGATTTTATATTTATGTTAGTAGAAGATCGCAAGCGTACCAAAAGATCCACAATGAATAGACTTCTTCGGTCAATGCAATTTCGTTTAAAAAGTTGTATGATTGAAGCTTTGACGCAGCCAATATTGGCTTAATTTCTCCAAAACTAAATTTTTCAACTATTTCTTTAAAAATGACAGTAATTCGCCAAATGATTGCCGTAACAGTGATTCTCCCTATCAAAGAGTCTAATGTGAAAATAGTGGATGTCGCTCCGTAGAGTAATGTACTCACCCTTGCATCGGCAAAGGCGAGAGTAGATGCAACAAAAAGTATTGTAATCATCTTGGTTTCACTCAAATTTTAACTGAAATATTGCTATGAGGTTTCGATCACTCCTAAAATATTTTCAAACACTGAAACAAAATTATACTTCTGAATGCCCAGGTGCGGGTTCCTTTCTTATCAGCTTTTTTTCAATTTTTATGGCGAGATAACATCTTATCACCATCTGTGATAGGAGCAAAAATATTGGGCAATCCCACCGTGATGTATCAGACGTGAAGGATAAGATGGCAACGTATAGTGAAAGAAGGCCAAAACACATCAACTGTAGAAAACAGATTATTTTTCAATATTTCTTTGTAATTTGATGGAAAAAATTTACAATTTATATTTCGTTTCATAGTTAAACTTTGCTAAAAATTTACAGGAGAGGGAGATGTACTTAGATCACGTTAAAAGTTTCGGAACATCACAGGAAATTATTTTTTTTTTTAGAACTCTCCGACAATGAATAGGGATAAAAAGTGTTTTTCGCCTGTAGAACCAAACTGCGATGAGACCTGGCAGCAGGTATGAATACGCCAGTCGCCAGGAGTTGTAGTAGTAGTGATAGATGTGTTTATTTTAAAGCGGTACCTAAGCTTCTATGACCATTAAGGGGAGCCAGCCACTTGAAAATTGAAAAAAAAATGTTTTTGGCGCGTATACGTAGTATACCGCCTTTGCGATCGTTTCGACCCCCCCCTCGATACAATAACCGAGTCCCCTAGTTCCTTACCGAAAAGTGACTACCGCGAACTTCTGAGATTTTCCAAAGCGTGTAAAAAGTTTACTAATCCGTCAATAATAATGATTAAAATTTGTTTCTCATTCTGGGGCTCGCTAGTTTATGTGTAATGAATACCAAGAGTCTACGTTTCTTGGTTTTTTTTAAAAAAACCTTAGAATGGGGCGCGCTGATTTAAAATATGCATATATAAGCGGAAGCAAGCGAACTGATTCGAGGATGGCTGACCAGTTCGGCACTCCTTGAATGAGAATTTCACTCACTCCGTTTTGTTCACAACGTTGCTTTGACATATCTCCACAACACTGTTATCCTTTTCAAAAGTTGGTACTCCTTGCTCTGATAGCCGGGGCCACCAGGATAGTGGTAAGTGCAATCTGTGATGAGCCTCGAGACTCATTAGACCATTTGCTAAACGTGGCTCATACAGGAGTCCACTAAGCCCTCTCGTCCCCACGCTCCTGATCACTGCGTCGGCGTCACGAAGAACAATGGGCCTTGGGTCCCAACGCGGCCGATACCCGTACCCCAATTACTCACGCTTCATTAACCATTTCACCGTCACGCTAGGATTCATCCAATTTTCAAAAAAAAT